TCTATTATAAGTATAGTCACGTTTTAGTCATTACAAGATGTGATAGTTTTAGTTGGTTTTAATTGACTACAACTTTAAAAGGTTTTAGTCAGTTTTAAGTTGCAAAAAAAAGTTAACCTTTGCAAATAGCAGGTCTAGTTCAACACATCATATTGGTTAAAATAGCAGACAGACAAGCTAACAAAATGTCCAATAAAAGAATGGCTTTAAACATATAAGGTTTCCATCCCAAAGAAAACTATTCCTGATCTACTATGACTTCATTACTCCAAAAAAGCAAAGAACAAAAACATTCTTTTTTCTACTTTAGTGATTTTGGTTTTATTTCTGAGAATTTCCCCCTCGGTTCCTGCTGCTCAGGGGTCAAAGTAGATTTAAATTCACAGGGTTTGATAAAAAAAAATACAGAGAGAAACTACATAATTGTCTTGTAACGCCATGGCAACCCAGACCTAAACTGAATGAATATGCTGCTAAAATGTTGAAATATTTAAAGGAAACAGAGAAAATGTTTTAATGATAATACAAGGAAACATTTCCATCATATTTAAATAGAAACGAGAAAAATGAGAGAGAAATATTCAAAGATCTATAAACCTTTTCATCTGGATCTTTATCCAGAAATAAACAGAATTTAATGAAATATTTGCTTTGGATATAATTTAGAGATTCCTTTTGGAAGAAATTAAAGAATATTTAGCAGATTGTGAGCTGGAAGAAATAAAATCTTGATAGTTAGAGAAAGGGATTTTTTATGCTTGGCAGAGGATGATCAGCTACATCTAGTTTATTAAGTAGCGAGAGCAGGAGGAGCCGTACTGCTGAGAGCGAACCATCAGAGTGGAGCGTAAAGCGCAGACTCTGAGCTAAGCTACGCAAAGACGCATTTCTGCACAGCTAGAAGATTGGAGTTATTCAGAGTTCAGCGCGCAGCACCGGATCATTCCGGATTATTTCCCCTGCCTCTGCTGCCATGATCCACCTACGCGTGGGCGGCAGGATCAAACAGGACGCAGCTGCACAGGTGATATTGCTTTGCTGATTACGCATCAATGATGCTTTTTAGCAACCTGCTGATTTTCATTTAGTCTCGTCTCTTTGATGAAAACTCAGACCTATGACTGGTCATGTTTTAGTCATAAAAGATCCGTGTTCAGGTCGTCAGTTTTAGTTATAGTCATGAAAAAAAGGAGCATCAATGAAATGATTACATAATCGTTGATGAAAACAACATCAGCAGGCTGAATATCTGAGTGAGCCGTGTTTTATGTGCATCACTGGGAGACGAACCCCCCCAACACACCTCCACACTGACCTGCATCTCCTTGTCTCCATACTTGGAAGGGTTCTTGCTGCCCTGGCTCTTCCTGCGCAGCTTCTTCAGCTCCGCCTGGCATTTCTCCAGACTCTCCCCTTTGCTCTTGTGCTCCATCTGGTACTTCTTCAGCGCCGCCTGATGGGGGCAGCACAAAGTCAGCAGGGGCACAGCAGTGCTTGCACAGCGGATATATCACTCCAACATCAACAGCGTGTTCATTTCACTGCTAAATGCTCTGATGAGAGAGAAAAAATGTTGCGGTCGTTCATTTAAAGGGCATGAAGGGAATAAATGTCATATTTTAGCTCATTCCTAAACTGATGAATGTTTGTTTTTGCATGTTGACTCCTTCCCAGCATGCATTGCAAAAAATAAATAAATCCTTGATGTTTTTTTATGGGTTTGGCCTGTAAACGGCATCAAAGCACCAGATTAAAAAACATTAAAACCAACTTTGCTTCTAAAAAGCATCTCTCTGTTTACGTAGATTTCTACCTCCGTAAACTGAGTTCATTCCTGTTCCAGTCAGGAAGACGAGTTTAAGTCTTAAACTGATTTAAAGGCTGTTTGGGGATGAGGCCGACAGGCCGTTAAACAGGCTGTTTGTTAAAGGAAAAGTTTGGGTTTTTATTCCCAGTCTGCTGCTGATCACCAAACGACTGCAGCAGGTCTGTGAAATCAAACCGATGATGATGATGCTGAGCCTAATATTTAAAATAGGCAGGAACTGGACCCTAAAACTAATGAAAATAAAAAGTCCAGGTGATTCTGAGAGATGGAGGCTGTGAGTCGCCCTGAAACCAACCCTGAAGGTTACGACCAAAGGAAGGAGGGACTCACGTTCAGGTAGCGCGCGTCCAGCTCCACCTTCTTCTCCAGCTCCGTCAGCAGCTCATTGTGGAAAGACTTTAGCTGCAAAACAAAGACAGAAAGCTCAGCAATACCCCACAATCATAGCATAAAGCTAACCGCTGGAAACCATGGAGGAGGAGCGTTTGAAAAGAGATGGAAACGTCTTTAAACTTGGAAACAAAGTCCAGAGAATTCTTTTTTAACTTTTTCTGAATATTTAGGGATTCTGAAACTAAATGTGAGTCTCTGCTTAAAACAGCCTCCCAGTATATGAGACCGGTCGTCTGATTGTTGTTTTAAAACTAGATATTGCTGCATCCGCAGCCGATTATCCAAAAGAACCAGAACATTTGCAAACAGGCTTTGAAAAAAGATTGAAGGTTGGATCTAACATCTGTAAATCAGCTGAATGTTTACAGCAAATGTCTCCAAAATTGCTCAATTTTCTCTCAGATTTGGACAAAGAACCGACATCAGAACATTTTCAGTCTGAAATCTATTTAAATTACATATACTGTAATCAGCTTCAATTTCCAAATCCTACTGAAGTGGAGCTCCAGCCTGATAAAAGGCTGCTTTTCAGACGTCCAATATTTCACGTCATTAAGCTAAAAAGGCCACAATCTGTTTGGCTCCCAGTCCCAGGCTGGTTTTAGCAAGACCGTCAGCACATGCTCACCATCTCCTCAAGCTGGATCTGGATCTGTCTGTGCACTTCAGCCATCTGAAAGAGCACATCCCCTGCAGAGAGAAAACAAAGAACAAAGACATGATTAACCAACAGAAGGAGAGAAGAGAGAGTGTGACGTTAACTCGTTCCAACCTCAGACAAACATAAAGCGTGCAAAACAAAACAAAAAAATAGAAAAAGGACAACAAACATGCAGCCAAACAGAACGCATGAGAGACGGGTGTCAATGGAGGGGGGGGGGACGCGCTGTGGGGTGATACAGACGAGCAAACGAACCGCAGAATGGTGAGAAAGCAAAAGAAACAGGCTCCATAGATGAAATGAATGACAAATCAAAGATTAATAAAACCTGCAGAGTGCTAAAACCAAACCGCTAAATCTTTAGATCGGATCACTTAGAGAATAAATCATAAACTCATAACAAAACTTTAAAAAGAAACCGTCAACTTTCTGATTTATGCATTAAGATGTATGTTAGGCTACGAGATAGGAGGGGAGAACAACAAAAAGCAGACCCCAGAAAGTGAAATTAACATATTCAGAAAACATGGTTCATGCAGCAACTAAGGTGTTTAAGATACCTACATGCTGCCTCTTCTGTGTGTGCAATGCATTGTAAAAAAAACAAAAAAACATCTAGTTTGAGCAAAAGAAGAGACCTGAAGAGACAGATCCAACTACCCTGAGAATAAAAATGAGTTTTAAACACAGAAAGAAACACTTAGACACACTGCTAATTGACAAAGAGCCCCATGCTGCTGATTCACAGGACGCTTCACATCCTAAATACCTCAAAGATTCACACAGCAGACTTCAATAATGCAATATCTCACACACTGGATAAAAAAAATCTAAATCTCAACAAGTCATTTTATCTTAAAATAAAGTGCATTTGTTCTCGGATTGAGGAATTAAAAGAGACATTTTACCAATGGAACAAGACAATTTACATTTAAAATAAGAAAAAACAATTACATTGTCTTATTTCAAGTGGTTATTATCCAATTATCTTATTTTAAGAGTACAAATATTCATTGCATTTGCAAATCATCATATTTACCTCCTCAAATTAAGGGTAAATATACTTAATTTAAGACATTTTTACTCATTTCTAGATGGTTTTTCCATCTACTATCCATGGTTAAAGTTTCCTTTTCATTGTTAATAACGTTTCTTTTGGTTTAGATGAAGGCTGGTTTATAATTAGTCTTTCTGGCATTTTTATCATCAAAAGAGAGGAAAAATTTAAATCAGTTTTAAAAAATATCACACACATCTAGAAATAAGTAAGCATTTCTAAAATTAAGTGTTTTTATCCTTAAATTGAGCAGGTAAATGAGTTGTTTGCCAATGGGATGAGTTTTTTTCACTCTTAGATTAAGAAAATTAGATATTAAGCACTTTAAATAAGACAATGGAATAGTTTTTTTCTTATTTTAAATGTAAATGGTGTCGTTCTGTTGGCAAAATGTCTCATTTTCCTCCTCAATTCAAGAAAAAAATGCTCTTATTTTAGGAAAAAATGGCTTTTGTAGATTACATTTTTTTTTTGCAGTGCAGCAACACATATCAGGGATTGGATAAATCGATGGGACAAAAAAACAATATAATAAAAACCTAATGGGACTGTATCTAACGCAGCCCTTCATTAGTTTTTCCACATTAGATCCCAATAAATCAGACAGAAGTTGGTGTTTGAAATGCCACCAATGTGATGATGTTTGCACGGCACTGAAACAAACTGTATATTTAATACCGTGAAAAGGCAAAAACTGAAAGGTTAAATTATAAACAATAGGACTTCACTTTGAATTTGGGCTTAAACAAATAATCAGATTAAATGATTATTGAAATAATCGTCAACTAATCGATTAATCGTTAAGTGGAGTATAGAGACTGTAAAACCTGCCTTTAGCTGACAGGGTGACCCACTTAGAGCAGCAAATATTCCAACATCGTAAAAAAATATGTCAACATTTTGCATTTAAGATTTAAAAAAAGTAATTTTTCAAAATGTTCTAATTGCTTAGTCAGAAGAATAATCGACAGATGAATCGATTTGCCAAATAATCGGTTGCAGCCTGACTTTGAATTAAGCCAATTATGAATAAAGTCAGTAGAAGAAAAGCAGTTTAACAATAAAATCTTTAACAAGACATCAGACTTTAATAACAAACTTCTATGAAAGCATTATAGCTGCTATAAGCTCAGCAGCGCCACCACATGGCGGATATATTCCTTCCAATCATCCTGCAGCCCTGCAGGGAGGCGAACCGGCCACCAGAAGACGCAGGACATTCGGAGGGGACAGAGGGGGCTGCCTGGGAGGATTAATAGGCTTAATGGAAGTGCTGCGGTCATGCAGATGATACTCACTTCCAGGGGGGGGGGTTAGTTTTTTTTGGGTTCAAAGCTGGTTTTTGATGCAAAGACAGAAAAGTTTAACAGGAATACATGAAATGCAGACGACAGAAACACAAAGCAGCTGGACAGGGTTCATCACTGCATGTCCTGCCTTCCATCAGAAGGTCCCCCTCCCCACATCCACCTTTAGACAAACACGCCGTCCACAGGCTGTGGGCGGGGCTCTGAGGCGGAGGAGTGCACCGGTGCATGATAGAAAACTCTGCACTGGTTCTTGGAGAGCAACCAGCTCACACTTCCCCGCCGTCCATTAACAGACAGCTGGCCGCCATGGACAGGCGTGCTGAACCGCAGCGACTCGATCACACGCCATTAGCCTAATGCTGACTTTAGCCTGAGGAGGGAACGCTGTGGAGCATCGAACCCAGAGAGAGAGAGCAGGACGTTTCTAGATAAAGTTTAATATTTAATTATACATCAATAAAACTGACCAAGCAAAGAGTTTTCATGACAGTTAGAAAGACATTTATAAACGGATGTTCCAGTGTCTGCATTTCTAAATGAACGTCAACATAGTTCACTAAAAAATAGTTTATTTGTTCCTTGTTGTAAACTGAAGACATACATCCGGGGGGGGGGGGGTTACCATTACCATTTACATTCAGAGTTATTTAATGAATTTACCGTTAATCAGTAAAAAAATGAAAACAGTAATTTTTGTTGCGATCAATGGATCATTATACCTAAAACTAACACGTTTGCTCTGATTGAATTAATTTAGGGTTAATCAGTAAAAAAAGATAAAAATTATAATTTTCGTTGCGATCACTGAGTCTGGGAGCGGCCATTTTTGCCCAAATATAGTAGCCCCTCCCTCCTGCCATCTTCCAGCAGTGACGTCACGGTGCGGTAAGCCTAGCGCCATTCTCCCCGCTTTCCAAGCTAAATCAA